GGCGGCGGCGCGCGAGGCGGCAGCGGCGGCGGCTTCCGGAGTCCCGCTGCGAAGATGCTCAAAGTCACGGCGCCCTCCTGCTCTACCTCGTCCTGCTCTTCGGTCGCCGCCAGCGCGGCCCCCGGGGCCGGGAGCCTCGTCCCGGATTACTGGATCGACGGCTCCAACAGGGATGCTCTGAGCGATTTCTTCGAGGTGGAGTCGGAGCTGGGACGGTAAGGCGCGGGGTGCCCCGCGCAGGGTCGGGCGGGGAACCCGGGAGTGCCCTGGGGGTTGTCCCTCTCCAGTGACGGCGCCCCAGGATGTGGAAACCCCCCTCCCGCCAACTGCCCTTTGATTTCTCCCTGTCTGGTTAGCGCCTGGGGGAGAGCTAACCTTCCTTCAGACGCGACTGGGTCCCCCCAGGGCGCCGGGGCCAGTGCAGTTTACTAGGCTCAACCCGACTCTCTCCCACCCGCCTCCTCGTCGCAGGCTGCCACTTCCCTTGGGTGACAGCTCTCGCCGCACGTGGGCCCTGCTTTCTCAGTCGGTGTCTTTGCTCATGATTACAGCTCGCCAGAGGGTCCTGTAGGTCTCGGGTTTTTGGGGGGGGGGGCGGAGAGTGCCCCTCCGAATCATGACAGAATTATTAAATTAGATTCTTCCTCCTTCCTCTCATCAAGCTCTCCAAAGCAAGTGGCACTAGAAATTAAACTTAAATACTATCTTCCCCGCAGAGTCTGCTCAGGAGTGAAGGGGGAATGAATCATTTAAGAGAGTTGAAGGCAGAATAAGGAACTGGTGAGGCTTTCAAGGGAAAACAGCATATGGGGTCCAGGCAGTGGTAATTAGTGAGAAGAGTTCTGTGGCTCTTCTTTCATGTGCTAGAGTGATTTATTTAAATTAGATATGCAAATAACCATCTCCCTAGGGTTGCAGAAATGCCTCTCATCTCTCTTCTGAAGATACAAACAGGTAGCATTTCCGCCTTGTGAATGATTCCTATCCTGTCACATTTTTATCCACTGAAGATTCGTTTTTTCTTTCCCTCCCTTCCTTTTTTCCTTCTCTTCTTTCTGATATCCCTAGGTAAAGAGACTAGGCTGTTTCTTACAGGCGATCTGAAGATATCATTTCAAATGTTGACAAGTTGCAGCTTTTACATTTACTACTTCTTTGCAATTTCATTTTTTTGTTGGAAGTAGTTTGACAGCCATTCCTTGTTTTTCTTTTCTTTTTTTTTTTTTTGGCCAGCGCTAGGTTTGAACCCATCACCTCTAGCATTTGTGGCCAGCGCCCTACTCCTTGAGCCACAGACACCACCCGCCATTTCATGTTTTAATACCACTGGAGACCACAGAGAAAAATTCTGGATGTTAACAATTAGACAAAAGGTGTCAGGATCACTAGTAACCCTCCCCCCACATTTGCTATTACAATCGAAGGTTTGTTTAGTATTGAAGAAGTATGAGAAAAGCAAAACTTCTGAATGAAAATTGAATAATTTATCACCATTTAAAAATGTTTCAAAAATTTGAACATTGAATAATGTGTCCATAACCATCCATTTTTGCTCAAATTTTTCAACATTCACTTGAAGGTCTGTTGTTTGTAGGTTGGAATGAAATGACAATGACATCTTTTTTTGTAAGATTCAAGAACTGTTATAATTGTATGAGGTACTGTAGTGGGGCAGTATAAACTTCTGATTAAAGAGATAATCTATGCAAAATTGTTTACCTGGTGTTTTAGAAACTGCCGGATAGTCAAGGAAGAGCTTCATGCTGCTCACAGGACTGTCCCAGTGGCAAATCCTTTCTGGGTGACATTTACCCCAGATCCCTCTACCAGGCTGACTTACCATCAGTGCATGTTGTCTTTATGAATAAGCTCACCATCAGGAAACTCAGGAAATTTTCTTTAATTTGAGGGATGGGAAAGTGAATAGAAAAAAGACAAACTGCCAATTGTACACGCACATGGGATGGTTGACTTCGTAGGACAAAACCTAAGAAATTCCAAATTTTTCCTCTGGCTTTGGTGTTATACATTGCAGTACATTTTGGAGGACATATATAAATAAATTATATAGTTGCTTCTTGACTTGTGATGGGGTGACATCTCAATAAACCCACTGCAAGTTAAAAATACCGTAAACTGAAAATGCATGTAAGATATCTAACCTAACAAACATCATACCTTGGCTTAGCTTACATTAAACATGCTTAGAACACTTACATTAGCCTATAAATAGACAACATTATCTAACAAAAAGCCTATTTTATATTAATGGTTTTGTTTTGTTTTATTGAAGACAGAGTCTTACTCTGTTGACCAGGTTAGAGTGCCATGGCATCAGAGCTCACAACAACCTCAAACTCCTGTACTCAAGTGATCCTCTCGCCTCAGCCTCCCAAGTAGCTGCTACTAAAGGCACCCACCACAATGTTCAGTCAGTTTTTCTATTTTTTGTAGAGATAGATTCTTACTCTTACTCAGGCTAGTCTTGAACTCTTGAGCTCAAGCAATCCACCTACCTTGGTCTAGGTCAAGCAGTCCCCAGAGTGCTGGGATTACAGGGTGAGCCACCACACTGAGCCTATACTAAAATTTTGAATACTATGCACAGATGTGCGTTTTGAGACATGAAGAGATGTGAAAATGCAAGACACGATATTCAAGAAACACTGGTGACACAGTTCCCTGTAGAGTGCCGGATGTTTACCCCTGTGATCAGGAGACTGACCAGGAGCTGTGGTTCGCTGCTGTTTCCCAGCAGTGCAGGGAGTATCCTACCACATATTTTTACCCCCCCCACAAAAGATAAAAATCCAAATACGAAGTATGGTTTCTCCTGAATGTTTATCACTCTTACACCATTGTCAAGTTGAAAAATCATTAAGTTGAACCATCCTAAATAAGGGACCATTTATACATTGCTGTGACGCTTGCCTCTTAGTATCTAGTCATTTTTGTTGTTGTTCGCTAACCCTTTATTGGGCAGGAGAAGATGGGGGTCAGTGAAAACACTAGGATGTTCTGTATTTTAACCCAGTGGTAATTACGTAGTCATCTAGTCCCTTAAAAACTTTTAGACACCACACAGAATTAAAATACTTTTAGAAGAAAAGCTACAATGTTCATTCTTCTGCTCTGTTTTTCAGCAGTAATGTGTATTGTTAGGTAAGTTCTCCGTAGATGGCAGCATTGGTGAGGTGCATGCTTACTCTAGGCGAAATTTTGACAGTCATCAGCAATTTTTTTCAACAAAATAAACCTAGCAACTAATATTCCAGGTTTCATTAAGACTTTATGAAGCCAGAGAATACAGCAGAATTGTCATTGTAAGTATTGACAGGTTGACAAAGTCTGTTTCCTTCCTACATTTGTGATCAAGTAAAGTTAATTGGTTTCAAGTTTTTACTCTAAGCCAGCAGTTCTCAACCTGTGGGTTGTGACCCCTTTGGGGGCTGAATGACCCTTTCACAGGGGTCACCTGAATACATCCTGCATATCAGATATTTACATTACGATTCATAACAGTAGCAAAATTATAGTTATGAAGTAGCAACGAAAATGATTTTATGGTTGGGGGTCATCACAACATGAGGAACTGTATTAAAGGGTCGTGGTGCTAGGAAGGTTGAGAACCACTGCTCTAAGCCATGAGTGAAATCTGCCTGCCAGGGTGGCTCTGAGGCCAAACCATTCGATTTTACTGTGAGTAACATAGTTCTCATAATATGTGACCAGACTATCTGATAAGACTCTGCTGCCGTGGTTAGCTTCAGGGTGTAGACAATCCCCTCCAGATTTAGTGATTTGTTGGTTGCTCTGTTGTCTCCTGATTGCAAGAAGATTAGACAGTGACCACTGGTGCCGCACACCCTCAGTAGGCATTTAGCCACTTAAGGGGAGCTAAATCCCCATGGCTGTAGCCATGGAGGGTGCCACAGGGACACTGATCTGCACGGGGCCAGTCAGACCAGGGGGGATGCCATAACTTTTGTTTAGGAGGCCGGAGGGTTAGGTGCAGGGAATGTTTAAGAGTATCAGGCAAACAAATTTCTCTAAAATCACATTTGAAAACACTGTATTATTTATAGGGTTTGTCAAAACGTTTACAAAAATCATGATACACCAACAAATTCAGTTCTACTTAAAAATATGAATTGGCCATGATCCTGTTCAAGGCTGAACATCCTAGACAGCAGTTGGTCTTTTGCCCAGATATTGAGACACTGGCATTTTAAAGGCTTTTCTAAAGGAGAGGGGAGCTTGCCTCCAACTCAGAGTCTCTCTAGAGGTTTGACACAGGGAAGGACAGGATGGTCCTGGCCTGCCCTGTGGTGCACAGAGGACCCTGTGTGTGCAAACCCGTGCTGTAGTTTCAGTGGTGCTCCACTTCATGTGTTTGCTTGTTATACCAGATAGAAAGGAAATTCGTAACAGAATCAGAAGTATGCCTAGACATACAAGGCCAGGGAAACCAGATGAAAGATAATCAGGACAAAAAAAGAGTGTGTTGCACTACTTTGGACTCACTTTTTTAAAAAAGTCTCTTCTGTTACTATAGTTTCGTTAGGATAGTCACTTTGGGTATCACTCTCTAATCTGAATCATAGTTTCAAAAATATACTTATATGGGAACTCAATTGAACTATGATTATATAGGATTCCTTGCTATATATATTATTGCTTAGGAACCAGATAGATTTAGTTAGAGAGGTGTGTGTGTGTCTGTGTGTAAAGCAGAAACAATTTCTTAAAACAGTGTTTATTTTTATTACCAACAACACACTCAAATAGTTTGTGGTAATATTTTAGCTGAACTCATCTGATTTCATATCCCACTGATGGGTTGTGACTCAGTTTGAAAAAATGTTATTTTAGCTATTTTAGCAATCTGTGGATGACAGATTAAGCCACAAGGCAGAATCCTTTTAAAAAATAATCCTGTAGCCCAATTGGCAACATTGAGTGATGTCCATTTGGTGCTGCTCTGTAGAGAAAAACATTTCAATCTTTCCCTCTAAATAATTTTTTGGTTTCCTCTTGTAAACAATTTGGAAAAACTCCGCTGTCTTCCCAAGGGTTGCTTATACATGGTAATCTGACCTGACTGAGGGGATAGGGGCTGGTGCTGGGAGCACCTGCACTGTGTGGGGAGGAACTCAGAGGCCTGAGAAGTGTCTGTTCTCCACAGTAATGCGTAACTCTGGCACTAGCTAATTGG